TGTTTTCTTTTTCTAATAAGATACACTTTAAAAAATAATTTAAAGCAATGTTTCTTCAACTTTGACTTTGGGACAGACTCTGAGCTAGTAAAAAGTATTGCCACATTTTTCTCCCATAAAGATAAGCCCATGAATGTCAAATAGGCCATAAACTAGGAGTCAGGAGTTCTGGTCTCTAAACTCTAAACTTGGCTAGCTAGCTGTGGGACCCTAAACCTATTCTGCAACCCCATTGCACCTTAGTTCATCTGTAAAATAAAGGGATTCAACCAGAAATGGAAATGATCTCTAGTGCGTTGTCCACTGTAATTCTGTAAAACCATTAGCATCATTTAGCTTGTCCAGAAGAGTTGCTGCAGAGTCGCCCAAACTTGAGCTGTTAAGTCATTTCTCTCAACCAGGCACAAGGTTGGTGAAGAAAAGAATGCTCTAAAGACAGGAGGAGGAAATAGGATAGTAGAGAGAAGCCCCATATTTTGATTTCATTAGGGACGAATTCAAGGATACTAATGTCAGTTGGAGAAGGGCTGTCTAGTTAAGAGGAAACACTAAGCTGATGAGTGTGAGGCAACAGATGATCTGTTAAGAAAGATCACAGGCTGACTGGGACCACAATAGTAGGTTATGGACAAAGTGGGAGAGAAATATAGAACAACATTCAAATTCATAAATAAGACCAGACTTAACTGGTCTGATAGAGACCAGTGGATCCCCTGAGAGTATGGCCCTTAGACACCCTTCAAACTTGGAACTGAAATCACTCCCAGAGATCACACTACAGCCATACAGTAGACAGGCATATAAAATGAACAATAACATCAGTGAGGAATGTATACCTCAGAACAATCAACTACATGAGACCTAAAGGGCAGCATTTGCCCAAAAGCAAAGTTCAGAAGGACGGTAGGGGGAGAAAAGCTGGGCAAAATGGATATGGGGAACCCAGGAAGGAAGGGGGAAGAGTGGTAACACATTCAGGGGTTTGCAACCAATGTCACAAAACAAACTGTGTATAAATTGTTGAATGAGAAAGTAATTTGCTCTGTAAACTCTCCCCTAAACATAAAATGTTCAAAAAAAAGAAAGAAAGAGCAGAGCTTTGGAGAACAGAGATAATTTTGGAGGAAGAATACAAGACTTTGCTAAATTGTCTTCGCTTTGTCTTAGTCATCTAGTGCTGCTACAACAGAAATACCACAAGTGGATGGTTTTAACGAAAATAAGTTTATTTCCTCATAGTCAAAGTAGGCTAAAAGTCCAAATTCAGGGCATCAGCTCCAGGGGAAGGCTTTCTCTCTCTCGGCCTTCTCTTCTCATCAGTGTTCCCCCAGACTAGGAGCTTCTCAGTGCAGGGACCCCTGTCCAAAGGACGCGCTGTGCTCCTGGCACTGCTTTTGATGGTATGAAGTCCCCCTGTCTCACTGCTCACTTCTGTCTTTTATATCTCAAGAGATTGCCTCAGGACACAATCCAGTCTTGTAGATCAGGTCCTGCCTTACTAACACAACTGCCACCTATCCTCCCTCATTAACATCATAGAGGCAGGTTTACAACATACAGGAAAATCACACTGTACCAGGAATCATGGCCTAGCCAAATTGATACACACATATTTTGGGGGACATAATTCAAACCATGACAGCTATATATTGCGTTAGGAGCCCTGGTGACGCAGTGGTTAAATGCTCGGCTGCTAACCGAAAGGTCGGCGGTTCAAGCCCACCAGCCTCTCTGTGGGAGAAAGATGTGGCAGTCTGCTTCCATAAAGATTTACAGCCTTGGAAACCCTGTGGGGCAGTTCCGCTCTGTCCTATATGGTCACTAAGAGTCAGAATCTACTCGATGGCAAAGGGTTTTTTATATATGTGTTGCTTAATTATCATTCTTAATGGCTATGGGAAAAGTGGGCAGGGAGAGATGCAGAGGTAGGTGGGCTCACTTGCACAGAGCCCTTCAGTGAACTTAAAGGTTTTAAAAAGAATGCGAAAAGGAGCCCTTGTCTGAAGAACCATGCTCAACCAGACATGTGACACTCACATTCTTTCTCTTCATAACATTATCTTACTGAATATTAACTACTGTTTTAAAGCAAACAAGTTAACAGTACTGAGATAAATCTGGAAAAATGCACTAGAGTGGAAAGAATAGGGGAGATCACAAGGCAAGAACAAACTACATGGCTCCCAGCCACACCACTGACTCACTCTGACCTTGAGTAAGGAAGAGTCTTCACTCCTGTTTTCTCCATCTACCAACAGATTTGATCTGCTGGCAACTGGTGCTCTATATATTGCAACATGGTTCTTTTTTCAAGAGGTATAGTTTACTTACCACATAATTCACCATTTTAAAGTGTACAATTCAGTGGTATATTACAGAATTGTATATCCTTCACCACTACCTCATTCTGGAATGTTTCACCACTGCAAAAAGAAACCCCATGCTCTCCCTCCAACCTCTGGCAACCACTAATCTACTTCCTGTCTCTATAGATTTCCCTATTGTGGACATTTTGTATAAATGGAATCATAAAATATGTGACATTTTGTGTCTGGCTTCTTTCACTTATTATGTTTTCAAGGTTCATCCATGTTGTACCATGTATCAGTAAAAAAACCCAAATCTGTTGCCATCAAGTCGATTCCACCTTATAGTGACCCTATAGGACAGAGTAGAACTGCTCAAAGGGCTTCCAAGGAGTGGCTGATGGATTCGAACTGCTGACCTTTTGGTTAGCAGACTAGCTCTTAACCACTGCACCACCAGGGCTCCATGTATCACTACTTTGTTCCTTTTTATGGCCAAATAATATTCCATTGTATAGATATGTCATAGTTCATTATTCCATTCATCAGCTAATAGTCATTTGGATTGTTTCCACACTTTGGTTATTATGTATAATGCTGCTATGAACATCTGTGTATAAGCTTTTGTGTGAACTAAAGTTTTTCATTCTCTTGGGCACATATCCAGGAGTGGAATAGCTGAGGCATACTGAAACTCTGTGTTTACCTTTTTGAGGAACTGCCAACTTTTCCACAGTGATTGCACCATTTTACATCTTTACCAGCAATGTGTGAGAGTTTCGATTTCTCTCCATCTTTGGCAACACTTGTTACTGTCTTTTTTTAAAAAATAATTTATTTTATTTTTTGTCATTGTTGATGTTATCTTTTTTATTACATACATCCTAGAGAATGCGAAGTGGTATCTCATTGTGGTTTTGATCTGCATTTCCTTGATGGCTAAATTATATTGAGCATCTTTTCGTCTGCTTATTGGCCATTTACATATCTCTTTGAAGAAGTGTCTAATCAAATCCTTTTCCCATATTTCAATTGTGTTATTTGTCTTTTTATTACTGAGTTGTAAGTGTTCTTTATACACTGTGGGTAAAAAAAAAACCCAACCCAGTTGCCTTTGAGTCAATTCTGACTCAGCGACCCTATATGACAGAGTAGAACTGCCCCATAGGGTTTCCAAGGAGTGGCTGGTGGATTTGAACTGCCGACCTTTAGGTTAGCAGGTGACCTCCTAACCATCGCACCACCAGGGCTCCATATTGTGAATACTAGACCCTTGGCCTCTGGGTGGTGCAATGGTTAACGCACTCGACTTCAAACCAAAAGTTTGGAGGTTCAAGTCCACCCAGAGGCAACTTTCAAGAAAGGCCTGATGATCTATTTCTGAAAAATCTGCTATTGAAGATCCTGTGGAGCACAGTTGTACTCTGACACACATGACCATAGACTAATTAAAGATTTAGTCATGAGAGACAATTAGGGAGAAGAAATAAAAAGAGAAAATGTAATCCTCGTGAGGCTGTCCTAGATGAGTAGATGAAATTTGAAAAGGTATATGTCTATATTTAATGCTTTCAAAATTAAGGTTAAAAGTAACAGCTATTTTAAACCCCGTTTTCTTCATACAGGTTAAACACAGGTTTTGGAGTCAGACAGGACTGAATTCAAATCCTAGCTCTGCTTCTTACTAGCTTGGGACCTAGGACAAGTTACATAATCTCTCTGTGCTTCAGTTTCCTCATCTGTAAAATGGGGTAATGATAATATCTACCACATAAGGTTATTGTGAGGATTGAGTGTGAAATGCTGATCATAGTGCCTGGAAGCACAATTGATAGTACTTGTAATAATAATTATTTTTATAATGTTCTGCAAAAGTACCCTAATGATTCTTGAATAGAGTTAAACTAAAGGCAATTTTCTTTTTTTTTAAGAATTGAGAAGAAATTCTAGCATTTTGGAATAAAAATTTATGTAAAAATGAATCTATTCATTTTATTGCTATATAAGCAGAATGTTATTTATTTATTCATCAGTATTTATTAAATACCTAGTAAACATCAGGGATGACAGTGATGGCAGGTTGTGGTTCCTGCCCTCAAGAAGCTGGCAGTCTAGGAGACCGACGAGTCAAGGTGATCGTATGCAATGTAACAAGGGGTATGACAGAAGAATGCACCCGGAGTATGTGATCGAACTATGGCTTCCACAAGTTCCTCTTCTTAGATTTACCCCCTTCTCCTTTGGTTCCAAGGCCAAAGAATTGGTCCTTTTTTTAAAAAAAATTAGATGAATTAAGCCATGGAATTTTTTGAAGTTCTAAAGACTGAAATGAAAGCACCTTGAGTTACGGAGGGCACTAGAAATAGTATTTCCTACGGAGCGAAGCCTTCCTACCAGCATAGTCAACTCCAGGGTTTTCTACCTGAATGAGGTTACAGATGTCTACCTGAAGTTCTTTGGTATATTTTTTCTTTGCTATCCACCTTTCTTTTCTCTCTCTCTTTCCTTTCTCAACCACTTATCTTCTAATTCCCAAAGGAAGAGTGCTTTATGGATCCTAAGGGTGATTTATAGGTAAAGGCAGAAAATGATTTTTTTTTTACCCTACAAGTTCCATACAAAAAAAAATGAGTATAAACTTTAACGGAAGTTATTGAAAATGCAGATAATTTTCATTCCATTGCATTTTTCCAGAAATCTCGATCATAATCCTCTGACAACTGTTGAAGATTCGTATCTTTTTAAATTGCCAGCATTAGAATATTTGTAAGTATTACAACAATCTCATGGGTCATGAGATGATTTCGATCTTTCGTTTTTACTTTCATCAAAGATTAAGTATTTTGCATTTAGGCTAAAAAGTCATCATTTTAATTTGGTGATTGAAAAAAGTTAGTGGCAAAGAAAAGGATTAAGAAAGGACATATACTGAGCAAGACAGCAACAGGGGAAGACAGCAGTGTCAAAGAACACATATGGACCGGGCATATGCAGATAAATGTAGAAACACCATTTATTCAAAAAAGCAAAGAGATTAAGGTATACATTATAAAAAAGAACAAGGAATCAGGAATGAGATGTGGGATAATGGTAAAAGACTACAGGTTCTACTGTTCTATGCCAACATCATTAATTTGATGATGCAAAGAAACTTAAATTTCTTTCATAAGCGCTTTCTGGAACTATCTTCTATGGCAAATAAACTCAAGCTAGCTTGTTTTACAGAGACGCCAAAATGGAAGTAATTACCTGTCCTTAAATATCTTTTTAAGTACAGAATTTTTGTATTTGGGTTCATATCATGAACATTTGGGCTTTCTCCTTCAGAGATTTGGGAACAACACAAGTGTCACTTACAACAGTTGAGAATATCCTCAGAATGATGCTCAAGTTGGAAAAACTGTAAGTAATTTTTTTCTTAGATTTATTTTCACTTAGTTTTTTTTTAAGTTTTTTTATTTTAAAGTCAGTTTATTGAGGTCTAATTACATATAATCATATTCACCCTTTTTAAGTGTGCATTTCAATGAGTTTTGACAAACGTATACAGTTATGTAATCAGCACCACAATCAAGATTGGAGTATTTCTGTCACCCCAAGAAGGCCCCTTGTGCCCCTTTGCCATCAATGCTTTCCTCCTACCACCAGCCCCTGGCAACCACCTATCTCGTTCCTGTCCCTGTTGTTTTGCCTTTTCCAGAAAGTCTTATAAATGAGATCATGTAGTATGTAACCTTTAATGTTTGGCTTCTTTCACTTAGCACAATCCTTTTGAGATTTGTTGATGCTGTTGCATCTATCAGTAGTTCATTCTTTTCTATTCCTGAGTCGTATTCCAGTTGTATGGATATACCACAGTTTGTTTATCCATTCATCAGCTGATGGACAGTTGGGTTGCTTCCACCTTTGGCTATTGTGAATAAAGCTGCTGAAAGTACTCACAGGTCTTTGTGTAAACATTTGTTTTCATTTCTTTGAGGTAAATACCTAGGAGAGGGATAGCTGTATCACGTGCTAAGTGCATATTTAACTTTATAAGGAACTGCTAAACTGTTTTCCAAGGTGGCTGACCATTTTGCCTTCCCACCAGCAGTATATGAGAGTTGCTATTGCTCTGTATTTTACCCGATATTTATATTTCAGTCTTTTAAAAAAAATTTAGCCTTTTCTGTACATTTCCAAATAAAAACTTATATACAAATAAGATTTTTTTTAAAAAAGTAGAGGCAGCTCAGTACAAATATATAAATACTATTAATACCTATACACTAGTATGTGTGTAACAGTATCTCATTGTGGTTTTAATTTGCATTTCCCTAATAGCTGATGATGTTGAGCATCTACTTATGTGCTTATTTGCCATTTGTATCTTCTCTAATGAAGTGTCCATTCAAATCTGTTTCCATTTTTTATTGGATATTTTTCTTCTGATTATTGAGTTGTAAGAGTGCTTTATATATTCTGGATACATACCCTTTCTCTCAAATATGTGTTTTGTAAATATTTTCTCCCAGACTGTGGCTTGTCTTTTCATTCTCTTGAAAGTGCCTTTTGAAGAGCAGAAGTTTTTAATGCTGATGAGCTCTAGGAATTTTTTGTTTGTATATGGCTTGTGCTTCTTTTGTGTCTTATCTGAGAAACGTTTGTATAACCCAAAGTCACAAAGATTTCTCCTCTCTTTTTTTTCCAGAAGGTGTATAGTTGTGTAATTCTTCCAATTAGGTCTATGATCCATTTTGAGTTAATTTTCATATATGGTGTGAGGTAAGGGTTGAGTTTATTTATTTTATTATTATTATTATTTTGCAGTTATTACACAGTTTACTGAAGCTTAAATTGTGCCATTCCCCCTCCATATATAGCAGGATAGAGAGAAATTTGCTCTTACACTAAAGCTAGTTGAGGGGATTGCGTGAGATGAGTATGGCAAGAGGCCCTGCGTTTAGCAATCTGCTCCAGCCAATTTTGTCAGGTCACCTCCTTGACTCTTCTCACCACATCAGATCCTACAGTCACTGCTCTGGCCTCATCTTCCTCAGCCTCCCGCAGCATCGGCCACAGTTGATCCCTTACTTGTCAGCAAGATGCCATCCTCTCCAGATATTCAAAGTCCTCATCCTCAGACCAGCTTTCTCCCTTAGTTTATACAAGGAAGTAGGGTTCTGTCTTCTCTTTTCATGACCATCAGTGGATGATGAAAAGTACTGTCATTCTCTGTAGCCATGTGCCACCAAGAGCATAAAGAGATGAGAGCAACTGCCATCTTGAGTTCATTATTGGAATTTCTTAGTAGTTTAGGTTGAGAGGAGATACTTCTGAATTAAACTACAGATCAGTGTCACCCAGTTCTAATCCCTCTCCCCTTTATTCTAGGTATACCATAAACACTGCTGTCCTTACCCTTCTCTTGGGCACCTCTATCCTCCCTTCTGTATATTTACCATATTCAGTAGCAGCAATTGACCAGTTGGTCCCCACCCAAGTGGCCAAGCCATATGCCCCAAGAACTCCTTCATGGAACTGGACTGCAGGTCTAACTGCTTCCATGAACTACTCCTCCCCTTGCCGTGAGGCCAGAAGAACTGGATGGTAACTGGCTACCATTACTGAACATTTTGATGAAGGAATCAGTAGGTGAATCATGATCTAAAGGGGAAAAATGTGGAATAGAATTTCAAATTCTTGCAGAAGGCAAACTTGACCTATTGAGACTGGAGCAACCCCTCAATGTTACTCTGAGGACATCTTCAAACCATGATCCTAAATTATTCCCTGAAGTTATCTGTAAGCTAAACAACAGTTTAGCTATGTCAGTAAAGAATGTTCACCTTGAGCATTGCACTCTTTTGAAGAATTATCTATATGTGATCAAATTGACAACAGTAACTATAAAGCATAGATGAGAAGCTTAGGGAGTGGTGAATCTAAGTCAATGGTAGTGAAACTATATGGGTACAGATTGCAAAACTGGTGGCACAACTTGAAGAATGTAACCAATGTTATTGAATTGTACATGTAGAAATTGTTGAATGGGTGTATGTTCTGCTATATATATTTTCACCAACATTTAAAACCATATTTTTCAAAAAGAAATCCTTCTTGCACAGCCCTGTGGCCTTGGCCTGCTTCTATCTACTTAAGTAACCCCTTTAACATTAGTTTAATTCTCCCTGTTTCCATTTACAGGATCTTACCTAGTCATATGGCATGCTGCCTGTGCCAGTTTAAAAGTACCATTGAAGCTGTCTGCAAGACAGTCAAGCTGCATTGTGACAGTGAATGTCTGAGAAACGCCACACGTTGCAGTGAGTCTGAAATGCTTCATGATAAATTTTAAACTAGCAATGTGAATGCTTTATTTTTACTCATTGATTCCTTCAGAGTTCCACTGTAAGTAGTTGGAAGAACTACTCCCTTGCTGAAAGTCAGATTCTCAGTTTAGTGAGTCAGTTAATAATGTAACTGATCCACATGCATAAAGGAACAAGAGAAAGGAATGGAAAGGGTAAAGGAATTATCTTAATGGGCCACATACTGTGTACCATGCTCTGTGCTTGGGTTTTACCCCAAAATGATAACTTACTCATACAGCTTATTGTAGTTTGTAAACTGATTTCATATGTATTATGTCTCAAGTACCCCTTGCCTTAGGACCGGTATAGATCCATTTCTTTTTGTATTTGCAATTTCATAAAAGAGTATAAGCAATAATGCTTTATAAAAGTTTTATTTGAAGCCTCAGAGTTTCTGGTTCCATAACCAGAAGCTGCTACCCGGGTCTCCTAACAGATGAGAGGGCTCTTCCATTCACAGACTGGGCAACTCTGAACTTGCTCTGAATCTCAAGCTTTTCTATTCCCAAAACAAAAACGCAGGTGCTTTTAAGTTTTTCTTCTTCTATATGTTAGTTTATTGGCACTAACTTCGTGATTTCCAAAGGGTGATTACCTTCACATATAGAGAGCCTGAGTATGGGTCTGTAACAGTGATCTGGAACAAATAATAAATAACAACACTTTGCTGTTATTGTTAGGTGCTGTCGAGTCGGTTCTGGCTCATAGCAACCCTATGTACAACAGAACGAAACACTGACTGGTCCTACACCATCCGCATAATCACTGCAGTGTTTGAGCCCGTTGTTGCATCCGTTGTGTCAATCGGTCTCATTGAGGGTCTTCCTCTTTTTCGATGATTCTCTACTTTACCAAGTGTGGTGTCCTTCTTCAAGGACTGGTCTTTCCTGATAACATATCCAAAGTATGTGAGACAAAGTCTCGCAATCCTCCTTTCTAAGGATCATTCTGGCTGTACTTCTTCCAAGACAGATTTGTTCGTTCTTCCGTATATTCAATATTCTTCATTGTATATTCAATATTCTTCACCAACACCGTGATTCAAAGACATCGATTCTTCTTCGGTCTTCCTTATTCATTGTCCAGATTTTGCATGCATATGAGGCAATTTAAAATACTGTGGCTTGGGTCAGGTGCACCTTAGTCTTCAAGGTGACATTTTTGTTTTTTTAACACTTTAAAGAGGTCTCTTGCAGCAGATTTGCCCAATGCAATGCATCGTTTAATTTCTGGACTGCTGCTTCCATGGGTGTTGATTGTGGATCTGAGTAAAATGAAGTCCTTGACAATTTCAATCTTTTCTCCATTTATCATAATGTTGCTTATTGGTCCAGTTGTGACGATTCTTGTTTTCTTATCTTGAGGTGTAATCCATATCCAAGGCTGTGGTCTTTGATCTTCATCAGTAAGTGCTTCAAATCCTCTTCACTTCCAGCAAGCAAGGTTGTGTCATCTCCATATTGCAGGTTGTTAATGCGTCTTCCACCAATCCTGATGCTGCATTCTTCTCCATATAGTCCAGCTCCTCCGATTATTTGCTTGCATACAGATTGAATAAGTCTGGTGAAAGGATATAACCCCTACCCACACCTTTCCTGATTTTAAACCATGCAGTATCCCCTTGTTCTGTTTGAACAACTGCCTTTTGGGCTATGTACAGGTTCTACATGAGCACAGTTAAGTGCTGTCAGTTTGTCTTATTGTGGTGGCTTGTGTGTTGCTGTGATGCTGGAAACTATGCCACCAGTGTTTCAAATACCAACAGGGTCACCCATAGTGGACAGATTTCAACAGAGCTTCCAGACTAAGAAAAACTGGGAAGAAGGACCTGGTGATCTACTTCTGAAAAAATTGGCCAGTGAAAACCTTATGGATAGCAGGAGAACATTGTCTGGTATAGTACCAGAAGATGAGCTCCTCAGGTTGGAAGACACTTAAAATATGACTGGGGAGGAGCTGCCTCCTCAAAGTAGAGTCGACCTTAATGACATGGATGGAGTAAATCTTTGGGGACCTTCATTTGCTGATGTGGCATGACTCAAAATGAGAAGAAACAGCTGCAAGCACCCATTAATAATCAGAACATGGAATGTATGAAGTATGAATCAAAGAAAATTAAAAGTTGTCAAAAGTGAAATGGAACACTTAAAGATTGATACTGTAGGCATTGGTAACCTGAAATGGACTGGTATTGGCCATTTTGAATTGGACAAAAATATGGTCTACTATGCAAGGAATGACAAGTTGAAGAGGAACGGTGTCGCATTCATTGTCAAAAAGAACATTTCAAGATCTATCCTGAAATACACGCCGTCAGCGATAGGATACTATCCATACACAATGAGGAAGACCAGTTAATACAACTGCTATTCAAATTTACGCACCAACCGCTAATGCCAAAGATGAAGATTTTTACCAACTTCTGTAGTCTGAAATGGATAAAACATGCAATCAAGATGCATTGATAATTACTGGTTATTGAACTTCAAAAACTTGGAAACAGAAGGATCAGTAATTGGAAAATATGGCCTTGGTGATAGAAACGACACCAGAGATCGCATGATAGAATTTTGCAAGACCGACAACTTATTCACTGGAAATAGCTTTTTTCAACAACATAAGTTGTGACTATACATGTGGAGCTTGCCAGATGGAATACATAGGAATCAAACTGACTACACATGTGGAAAGAGCCTATGGAGAAGCTCAATATCATCAGTCAGAACAAGGCCAGGGGCCAACTGTGAAACAGATCATCAATTGCTCATACTCAAGTCTGAGTTGAAGCTGAAGAAAATTAAAACAAGTCCACAGGAGCCAAAGTACAACCTTGAGTATATCCCACCTAAATTTAGAGACCATTTCCAGAATAGTTTTGACGCGTTGAACACTAATAACCAAAGACCAGACAAGCTGTGGTATGACATCAAGGACATAATACATGAAGCAAACAAAAAAGTCATTAAAAATACAGAAAAGAAAAGAAAAAAGACACTATGCCACTTATGTAAAAACAGTATTGCTTGTTTTTCGAAAAATTTCTATTATTTCCTTCTTCCCCAGCGGTCAGTAGAACACGCATTGTTAATCTCCTTTTACAGATGAAGAAAAACAAGATTAGAGGTGTTAGTGCTGTAGCCTGGTGCCCAGGTCTACTGTCCCCAATTCTGAGCCCTCCACAAGCCCATACTCCTCCTTTCCCATGATCTTCTATTCCCCCTTAGACTCTTACTGCCACTGAAAATACTTTCCATTCTTCTGGAAAAGAAACACAAAAAACTGCACAGTGGTACATTTGACCTTCATTCATTCAGAAGCTTTGAGTAGTTCCTCAAGTAAAGCTGGAAAGATTAGATGTGAAATAAAATGACAGCAAAGTAGGCATCTGACAGAAGTTGCTTTTTCCCTTTTGCAATGTAGGACTTCATGTAACAAGTATCTAGAAATTGCTATTATCCCACAGATTTCTTGAACATTCCTGATAGGCATGCAGCATGGCAAATTAAAAATCTCTTAACCAACTGGATGGTGCCCAGCTACCATTACTGAACATTTTGATGAAAGATTTGATAGAAGAATCCTGATAAAAAGGGGGAAAATACAGAACAGAATTTCAACTTCTTATGGACTGCACACTTTCTGGAGCCATTGAGGCTGGCTAAACCCCATGAAACTATTGCGCTGAGATAATCTTTAAACCTTAAACCAAACAAAAAATCCCCTGAAGTCTTCTTTAAAATAAACAATAGTTTAGCTTAACTAGTAAAGAATGTCTGCCATGAGCATTGTGCTCTTTTAAGAACTATCTGTAAGAGATCAAACTGACAACAGCAATTCGGAAGATTAGATAGGAAATTTAGGAGGCAGTGTGTTTATGTTAATAGGGGAGAAACAATTCAGAAAAGGATGGTGAGAATGGTTGCACAACTTGAAGAATGTAATCAATGTCACTGAATTGTGCATGTAGAAATTATTGAATTGGTGTTTGTTCTGCTGTGTCTATTTTCCACAACAAGAAAATAAGATAAAATTTTTTAAGTGCCTTAGCAGAACCCAAGGGGAGAAAAATTTCTTAACCTACTACACCCCAGATCTCTTCCCAATATCAAGAAAAGAACCAGGGTGGACATAATGGACACATTCTGTATACAGCCTTCTGTTATGGGGGCTAGGATATTTGGCAGGAAGGACCAAGGGAATGAGTTGGGCAGGTGGGTAGAAAAGGGTGTGTCCAGATGTGCAGCTATGAGCTATATAATGAGCTCCACTTGAGCAGCTGTGCCCCTACTCCCCTCAGAGGTCTGTCTTTCAAAGTAGTCATGTGTGATGTCAACGAGAACGTGAACACACAGAAGAGGTGGAGAGAGGAAGCTTCACTCTCTCTCTGCATCTGAGGCAGGACAGTATGTGTCATATAAATGTGAGGAGAAATGGCAGATGGGTCTACCTGTTGGGGAATCTTTGTCTTCCAGCTTTGGGTTTATTAAGTACTGGGCAATTGGCCCTTGGGGACCGATGGAGTAATCCTAAGTATAACCTGTTGCTATCGAGTCAGTTCTGACTCATAGTGACTCTGTAAGACAAAGTAGAGCTGCCCCACAGTATTTCCAAGGGTATAAATCTTTACGGAAGCAGACTCCCACATCTTTCTGCTGTGTAGTGGCTTGTGGGTTTGAACTGCTGACCTTTTGGTTAGCAGCTGAGCGCTTAACCACTGTGTCACCAGGGCTCCATAATCTAAATATACTTACTATGTTTCACACTATGGAATGTTCTCAGTAGGTAGCCACTTTTTCAAAAGAACCAGAGTGGACATAGTGGACACATTCATAGTGGAACATTGTTGTTACTGGTCATAAACTTCAGTTTGGGTTTATTTTTCTCCTCTCTAAATGGCACTCAAATCTTTGTTGACTCCTAATGTATTTGACTGGGATATATGGCTATGGATTGACAAAAAGCTATCCCATCAGTCTTTCACTGTCAAACGTAGTCTCTTCTTTTTTGGCAGGTGAAGAAGCATCTCTAGGGGCTGCAGAAGGATCATTTATGAAGGCATTACAAGCCCGGAAGAAGAACACCAGCACTGAGCTGACTATTGAGCCAGAAAAAGCATCCTCAGACAAAAGTGGTGTCAATTTGTCAACTGTCCTGAATGAGCCACTAGACTTTAATGATGAAAATGATGTTATTAGTGCACTAAATTACATATTGCCTTATTTCTCAGAGGGAAATCTAGGAGACATAGAATTAACATTATTACCGTTCATTAAACTGCTTTTTTCAAATGTACAAGATAGAGAAAAGGCCCTGAGTTATTTGCAAAACAACCCAGGGAATCTCTCTCTTAAGCCTGAAAACAATGCAACTTCCAAAAGTAAACTGAGGAAACTCTATTTTCTGGAGAATTTGTTAGATGCAGAAATTCAAGAAAAAATTGATGAGGTTAAAAAGAAAGAAAGAACTGCCATGCTTATGCATCCCAAATTTTTAGGTGCCAAATTTAAACGCCAGATCTTTCAAAAGAAATTGGAAACTGCTCAGCCCTGGGAAAACCACGTGGCAACGATCCAGAGAACAACTGTCGGGAAAAGACTGCAAAGGGTGAACAGAGTCCTCAAGAAGCCAAGGGGCATGAAGAAAAGGCACTTCAAAGAAATGGAAGATCAGAGCATCAACAGGAAACAAGGGGCCAAGCCATTTATGGAGAACACCCCGGAAGCAAGAAGGCCCAGGGGGCCAGCCCCAAGGGAGCTGGAACAATTTCACAAAGTGCTGAGGCCAAGGAAGTTAGGGGAAATCTCCTTCCACAAAGAGCCTTCATTCATCAAGGAACATAAGGCAGCAGTCTCTTCTTTCCTGAAACAATACTCGATGCGCAGGCCTTCTACCTCGCCTCCTTCAAAAGCCCCACCTGAGGTTAGAAACCAATTAAAAGACTTGACCTACACCATTTTTGTTTTAGAAGATGCAAATGCTAGAGTTAAAAACATGAAGTTTCCTGAACCAGTATCCCATTCCAGAAAAAATTACATCTTTCATAAATCTCGCTCTCGTGTAGTTCACAGAAGACCAAAGGTTAAACAGAGTCGAAGGTTCAGAAAAGTCCGTAGACTGATGCTTAAAAACAGACCTCCTTTCTCTGCAGTCAGGAGTCTCATAAATTCCCCTCCACAAGAGGCTTCTTCGTTTTCAGGAGAACTGAGTTCTCCAGAAAATCCTTTTCCAGAATTATTTCCTTTTTCAGAGCCTTCTGCAAAAAACACTACTGCACACAATGCTACTGTGCTAGATGAGACTACCCGTGAGATCATTGCCCGTAAGGATCCTTCCACTGCAGATTCTGCTGTGACTGCAGACAACTTAATGCCACCTGTTAAACAAACCAATGAAACACATTGGGAATACCATCACATGGGCACTGACTTACCCTCCAAGCCCAATGGCTCCTCTCTGTCATTGCACTCATCCCCGGGTGATCAATTTGAAACTCAGCTAAACCAACAGCTACGGTCCCTCATCCCCAACAATGACGTGAGAGGGCTTATTTCTCATGTTATCCGGACTTTGAAAACGGACTGTTCGGAGCCCTATGTACAACTGGCCTGTGCCAAGCTCATCTCCAGAACAGGCCTCCTGATGAAGCTTCTCAGTGAGCAGCAAGAAGTTAAGGTGTCCAAGGCAGACTGGGATACAGACCAATGGAAAACTGAGAACTATATCAATGAGAGCACAGAAGTCCAGAGTGAGCAAAAAAAGCAAGAGTCAAGTGAGGTGAGGACAACTCCAGAAACATGGGGCCCAGGCTTTTCCATCAGAGTTGAGGACATGCCTTTAGAGTGCCAAAGCTCCTACTCCATGTCTCATTCTGGCCAAGACAATCATCTTCCACTTTGCTCATTTAGAGAATGGTGCCACTATTCCTAGTGTAGACGAGAAGAAGACTTAACACACAAATTGTAAAGAAGAGTGCTTAATAGTAAGATTATTAGATTTGGTATGTTCTTCAAGAACCTATAAGCTAGATTCGCCTGGAAGAATTGGGTTTTGAAACTGAATAGTTAATTTTTATCCTTTATATCTCTTTGTTCTTTTTTTTTTTTTTTTTTTAAATTGTTCTTCCTATTCTTTAGCTCACAAAAGAAGTTCCAGGATATGGCTATAACAACAAGCTCATCTTGGCAATATCTGTGACTGTGGTAGTGATGATTCTGATTGTCATTTTCTCCCTCATTGAGGTAAGGACAACAATTAATTCAAGTTTCCAGAATATATTTTGTCTGTATAATAGATTCAAAACCCACAAACTGAAAATTAAATCCACTTTCCCACCTACTGCTACTTGATATTCCTCTTCAGTCTCTAGGACTGGGGTATGCTTGGTTCCTTTTTTGCGAAGTATATTCCAGGGGTTTTGAAAGGAACCCCACTCCCAGGAGATCTTGGTGGAGTTGAAACCAAGATAACAAGCCATTAGACTATTTTGAGAAGTTACATTTAAAAAGGCCGAGTTGACATGATAGCAAAATTTCTTCAACCCAAAACTATGGCAATGATTTGATGTAGTCACCAGTCACTTTTATTCTATCCCTGATTTCTCTTCTTGTTGGCTGAAATGATAAAAGCGATAAAATGTCCACTCTTCAGAGCAATCAGTCAAACTGGGGAGAAAGGACAAAGCAAAAAGATAAAAGTGTTATTGTCTTAGTTATCTAGTGCTGCTACAACAGAAATACCACAAGTGGATGGTTTTAATAAAGAGAAGTTTATTTCCTCACAGTCACAGTAGGCTAAAAGTCCAAATTCAGGGCATCAGCTCCAGGGGAAGGCTTTTTCTCTCTGTCAGCCTTCTCTTCGGTGTCACCCCAGACTAGGAGCTTCTCTGCTCAGGGACCCCAGTCCAAACGACGTGGTTTGCTCCCAGCACTGCTTTCTTGATGTTATGAGATCCCCCTGTCTCACTGCTCACTTCTGTCTTTTATATCTCAAGAGATTGCCTCAGGACACAATCCAGTCTTGTAGATCAGGTCCTGCCTTACTAACACAACTGCCGCCTATCCTCCCTCATTAACATCATAGAGGCAGGTTTGCAACATACAGGAAAATCACACGTTACCGGGAATCATGGCCTAGCCAAATTGATACACATATTTTGGGGGACATAATTCAAACCATGACAGTTATAGATCCATTAGATTTACTTAGCATCTTCTCCAGTGGGTAAACAACAACAACAAAAAACCCTTGTCACTTTCGAGACTCTTAGAGACCCTATAGGCATTGTCTAAACAGGCTCAGTTAAAATATTACAGCCAAATTCCTGCAACAGTAGCCTGTTCTTGGAATTTGACTCTGCTTACTTTTTGTTCAATTATGTAATGGTTTATTAATTTCCTGACAGGCAGATGTTAACATATTAAAAAAGTGATTTAACAAGCTGACAACTTGACCCTACCCTGCCAATTCACCCTAATTTACCTTTTCGACTGTCAGAGCAGCCTTACATTCCAGCCAAAGCAGCCCCTCACCATATCCCAGTCACACCATGCTCATTCCTGCTTTTATCTGTGCCTTTGCCCAACTAAAATTCCCTTAATTCACTCTGCCTGTTGAAGTCTTGTGAATCTGTCGAAAGCCAACTCAAGCCCATCTTTCTTCACAAAGCCTTCTCTGAAAGCCGTGTCCTAGCCCTGGTCGATTTGTGAGGTCTGTTCCCATTCCTTGGGGGCCAAAGAGAGACATTTCCCCTCTCCTGAGAACTTAAAACTGTGGTAAACAATTTCTAAAAAGATGGCTACCCAAGAGAGAAGATTTAAGATCAACACATAATGGAGCAGAGCAAAGATATGTAAAGACCAAATGGCCTCCTG